GATTCCATAAAGTCTCTTCCTGAGCAAGCAGTGTTAAATCATGGGTTTAACATGAATGAGCTACTTTATGAGTGACATGAATGAGCTACTTTAAACACTCATTATAAATGGTTAGTTTTTTTCAATATTTCTTAAGTGTCTAAATAGTGGGGTTTACAAATAAGAAATTTCCTATCTCAGATAAAGATCTAAAATGTGTACCAAAAGAATTATTTCTAACATGCAAATTCTATTGCCTTAAAGATGAGGAAATTCACTCATTTATATCTTCTTAGAGATTTTCAATTTTTTTCCAATGAGAAAGTAACAACTAGATTTTTGGTTACTTTAGGTTTTAAAAATCTTTTTAAGTGTTATCATGTGATATTACTCAAAGGCATAAGAACATGGGAGATTCTATGAGAAAATATTTTATACATATATAACCAAATTGGCAGCCCAACATTTACTTCTCTACTTCCAAAAGAGCAGACCACCAAAGTAGTTTAGAACAGACTGAGTAGAGGGGAAAAAAAGAAAAGAAAAAAACCTGATAACCAATCACACTTCTAACATTGAAAGGCAACAACTGTAGAGAAATGAAGGAAGGGTAAGTCCACAAGGAGGCCTTTTTCAGGAAAAAAGGGAAATAGCTAAGTACTAAGAGGTCACAGGGTACATTAAAAACATAAAAAAACAAAACAAAACAAAAAAAACCAGTCATTAAATTTAAAGATCTGGTCCTGCAAGAGCAGTTTTTGCTACTAAAAAGCATACCATTGTAGGTTTTTTTTTTAATTCGAAAAAGATTTACAATATTACTTTGTTTTCTGAAGGTTTTTTCCTGTTCTTTGATTCTGTAATGAGTGTTACCAAATGGTATCTAAACAAATGTAAACATTAAGATGTCATTTAAAATGTAACCAAAAAGCAGAGAATTGGGGGCTTATTTAATTTCACTTATTTCTTCAGCTTCTTTTGCAAGAGATGTTCCACTGTCTGTTTTAACTTTCAAATAAAATAAATTTATTGAATTCCTCACTGGCATTATTTTTAATTACACTGATTCTTTAACTGCACTCTTTACTCAACCCAACTGCAATCAGCAGTGGTCATGGCAGCACATCCCAACCTACCTCCTCATGGCACACCACACTCCATGCCCACTGACTGCAAAAGCCATTCCTATGAGAGTTGGGGAGTTAAAAAACAAAACGATGTGTTTATTAATGCCACTGAACTGTACACTTAAAAATGGTTAAGATGGGGCTTCCCTGGTGGCGCAGTGGTTGAGAGTCCGCCTGCCGATGCAGGGGACACGGGTTCGTGCCCTAGTCCGGGAAGATCCCATATGCCACGGAGCGGCTGGGCCCCTCCGCAAAGGGAGAGGCCACAACAGTGAGAGGCCCACGTACTGCAAAAAAAAAAAAAAAAAGCTAAGATGGTAAATTTTATGTTATGTATATTTCACCATAATAAAAAAAATGGGAAAACAAAACAAAAACTGTAATTCTCACTGAATTGCTTTTACACAAATAAGACAAGGTATTAACATAAAATAAATATTGACAGGAGCCAACAGGAAAGTCAGAAGTGAGATGAGAAAACATCTAACAATGAAAACAGACTGACACAAAACATGAGCTTGATTCAGGCTCCTTCAACTAGTTGTGAGTAGAGGGCACAATACTCAAAGCCTCACTTTCCTCACCGGTAAAAAGCGGGTTTTGAACTTGATGATCCCTAAGTTCTCTTTTTGCTATAAAATTCTATGATCCTATAAAAATGAGAAAATCCTAAAAAATTAAAATAAAAGGAAGAGGTGATGGAGATGGACGTATGTGTGCCTGTGTATGTGTATTTAGCATCTGTCCTTTCCATCTCTTTCCCCCCATGTCCATGACTTCTACAAATCACTGCTCAGGATGAGCAGATAGGGGCTCTCCAAGCATGGCTCACTTGCTAAAATCTTGTTCCTTCTTTCAAATAGCTTATGAAATCCCCTGCAATCTGCTCTTGCAGGATACACAAACTGCTGATCACAGAGCTAAATTCCCAAACAGCCTAAACTTGAAAGCAAATATCTTTTCTCATCTCTATCTACATCACAAAAGCACTTGCCCTAAATGGAATATAAACTCATTCAAGTTTCACTGGAGAATCTATGTCAATAAATGTCAGTAAAACAAAACCACGAGAAAAAAATAAAGAAATGGAGAACATAAATTTCTAGAAGTGGATGTATTTCATTAAAGTTGTTTTCAAATAGTAAGTAAAATAATTCAGTGGAAATGCAACGTGAGTTAATGTATAATTCATAGACTTCATGTTAATGATTTTGACACATTATCATAGGTCAGCCAATGGATTAGCCTCAGTTTCCAAATCTGAATCAAAATGTAGGAAAAAAAGAGAGTTGTATCAAAACATAGCAGTTGGTTAAGTAATGAATGATAAAATCATAAATTTGAATGACTAATTTCAATGCTTTGTGATCAAAGAAAAGGTAATTTCTTGGTAATTCATGTTTTTGTATCGTGAAATAAGGAAAATAACTATCTTTTAATTTATACAATTCTAAGCACAATAAACACACAAAACATTCCCTGTTAAACTGATAATAAGTGTAATAAATTACAAGACATGGTTCAGCTTATCTAGTTATTACCATAAGATATTTTGTGAATGAAGTATTTCAACTGTGTTATTTTAGCAAGCACCTGTTTAAAATCTGGCAGACATCTAAGGGGCCAAAACTAAATTTAGCAGACATCTAAGGACCCAAAACTACACTAGTTAATTGGTTGTAACCTACTATAAATGAACTATGTTAACCTGATAGGGAGTACCTATTTAAAAGCCAAATCTACAATTTGAGGATTGACACAGTCGGGCTGGCGTTAAGCACCTGAGGTATAAAAGATGACAACATCTTTCAAACCTGGAAGAAGCATAGGCAATTTTACAGTGGGTCAAGGCCAAAACAGTGTCACAATAAACCGGGAAGCCCGTACCTTTCATTGCCAATAAGCTCATTTGGTTCACTGACAAAAGCTGTGCTGGTGATGTGCGCCCAGGTAATGCTGAAAGAAGGTGGTACCTGACATCTAATAATGCTTAAAAACAAACACACAAACATATTTCTGTTCTCAGACAGACCTCTCCCACCCGTTTGCTCTCATACCAACATAGAGACGGCCACATTCTTTCTACACTAGAAAGGCTTACCTCTAGCCTTTCCTAACTTCTTTCCACCTTTAAAGCTATCTTTGCTCATGTTTATTTTGAAACCATTTCAACCATATAAAATGGCAATGGGTAAGGAATACACAGTCTCCAGTTGTGATATGCTCTATTCACGTACACCTTAAAAACACAAACCTTCCTCTCACACATGTCATTCCTCAAGCAAAGTTTTCCAAGAAAAATAATAAGCCTCTCTTCAGGCATTTAGCAGAAAAAAAAAGACAACCTCCCCCAGGAAAAAAAAAAAACACAACTTTCCAAGAAATAAAATCCATGTATAAGTTTGTCTATTTCATTACAATCAGGCATATTTTTGCTCAGTTATTTCTATCTATTAACTCCTAAAAGTTATTAGCCAGGGTGTCTGTGTTAGGTCGCCTCTAAGATGGCTCCCATAGGCCCTTGCGTCTTGGGACTCACGCCCTTGTGTAATCCTCTCCACAGTGACTGAGTTGGATTTATTGACTCCTATCAACAGAATATGGCAGTAGTGATGGGATGCCACTTCTGAGATTAGCTTATAGAAGACTAGAGAGAGTCTTGGGTGCTCTCTCTTGGATTGCTCACTTGAGCGAAAGTCAGCTGCCATACTGTATACAGTATCTCAGACAAACTGTCAAGTTAACTGGATAAAAATGGCGAGTTTCCTACTCAACCCGAAAAGAGAATAAAATTTATTCTTAATTCTGATATCTGCTCAAGTTTGTGAACCATTTTCTTAGAGGGTAAAAATTCTCCCTACCCCAGAAATATGGTCACCAGCTGCAACATTAAAAAAATATATGTAAAGCTGAAATGGAAAACATAAATTAGCTTCACTTTGCAGTAATAAAGGTCATAATCTATTGATATGGAAATACCTGGGATCCTTGAAAATAAAGACTCCACTTGTTAAAAGAAGTAGATTCAATTATTAAATTACTAAATACATACAGAACCTAAAAATAAAACAAAACCCTTAAACGACTGAGGATTGGGATCCATTTGTGATTTCACCCAATTTTAATAATAATTAAGTGAGCACCATATAAGAAACTAGAGCCTAGTCACAGAGAAACAAGCAAGAGACAAGTTAAGAATCTGCCGAGTTTATAACCAAAGTTTAACAGCTGAAGCAACTGGCAATCCATCGTGACCTTAACTGGATGTGTTTGCATTCATGTTACTGTAAAAAGTATGTTAAGAGCCAAAAACTCTGCCTATGCACCAAAAACACATTCTACTTGGAAAGCAACACCTGGGCTAGAAGAGCGTAACCTCTGCTGTTTCCCGGCTTTATTTCAGAGTGAAGCCGGGTCCTACCTGGTGTCCCAAGCTGACCTAGGGGTCCCCAGTGACCCAGGAACGCAAGGAGCACACCTACTCCCGCCTCCTGACACGGATTCCTCATTTTAATTAGCCAACTCCGCTGTCACTCAAGGTGCTTCGCACAGCCATTGGCCCCAAAGTCTCGCTGGTTGGCAAGTTTCTGCCAACTGGAGCACCGATGGTCATCATTTCCGAGAAGAAAAGTAGGGGTGTACAGGGAAGAGAGGCAAGAACTCTGAAATATCTAGGGGGACACCCTTACCTGAGCGACCTGCGATTCCCCACCGCCGCCGCGACGAATCGGCCTCTGGGCGGGGGCTTTCAGCCAAAAAGAAAATGGCTCAGCCGGGAAGGGGTGCCCAGGCCATGGAGTAGCCGGTTCAAACTTTATTTGTTCACGCTGGTGAAGGTGAGGTCGGGGAGAATCCCAGAAACAGCACCTGATCCCTCCGAACTCAGCGTGCCCCAGGCTGCAGCAACCTGAACGGCCGACTCTCCGAGTTTTGACGTTTCCTATTGTTGCCGGAAGTGACGTCCGTATTCGGGGGCGCTTCAAGAAGAAGTATTTTTATCCCCTCGATCTACGATTCGCCACAGAGTCCCGGTCTCTCACTTCGCAGTCCGAGCCCCTGTGAGCCTCAGAACCGGGCAGACTTCGAATCTGCACCTTGGGATCGGACTGGACGTAGGAAAGACTCTCGGCAGGGTCAGTCTTTCCAGGGCTCTGTACGAACGTGCTGTGGAATCTGCAGCGGGGAATCCAGGAGCTCAGGGGAGCCGGCAGCTTGGAAGGTCCTGCCGCGGTGCGTGGCGGGCTTCCACCCGCTGCTCAGAATACAAACGGTCGGCGGGAGAAGCGCGTCCCGGCGTCGGCGTCGGGCCGCAGGGAGTCGTTGCTGGAGGCTGGGCTCCCGGGGCTCTGGGATTGCACATGCTACCACCTCCTCTGCCCGTTGTGCGGGGCTGGAGGCCTTTGGAGCCCGTTCTTTGCTCGGCCGCTGCTGGGTGAGCGCGGGGGGTGCAGGCGGGGCTGCGCCCCGGGATGGGCCGGGGTCGCCTCTCTCCGCTGCCCTAACCGAGGCCCCGGCTGGGGCGAGTGACCAGGGCTGCCTTTTCATCCTTTTAAATCAAGTGCAGGGGAGGAGAGCGCTAGACGTGCCTTGCCCATGAACCCGACTGGGATATCCTTTTGATAACGAAGAAATGGGAAGAGCTCATCTTCTCAGATCAGGTTGTAACTTAGGGTGGGAAGTCCTAGACGGACCGATTCCTGCTGTTGGAGCCTCTGAGCTGAGGGGCAGTCCGGCTCCTCGGAAATACTGATGAGAAGGAAGAGCTGAGAATAGTTGATGTTTTCCTTGCTTTACATTTCCCTAGTGTTTCAGTGTTTCTCCACTTTCCTACAGGACTATAGCTTTTTCCCTTACCGTAAAAAAAAAATCAATCTTGAAATTTGGATTCCGGAATTACGGCTGTAGTAGACTTTTTTTCTAAAATTATCCACAAACCTTTTAACGGTTTTATATATGAACACAGCAATCCTACAGAGTTATATACTTGACCCTTACTCCCCGTTTTCCCCAATTTTCTCCTCTATTTTTTTTTTTTTTTTTTGCTGTACGCGGGCCTCTCACTGTTGTGGCCTCTCCCGTTGCGGAGCACAGGCTCCGGACGCGCAGGCTCAGCGGCCATGGCTCACGGGCCCAGCTGCTCCGCAGCATGTGGGATCTTCCCGGACCGGGGCACGAACCCGTGTCCCCTGCATCGGCAGGCGGACTCTCAACCACCGCGCCACCAGGGAAGTCCTCTCCTCTATTTTTGATAGATAATATTTAGCGTTATGAGCTGTCACAAACTCTTAGCCCTCGACCGTCATCTTTACACCAGTCGGTGTAGTTGCTTCATTCTGAACAAAAATCACTGAGTTCAATGGCATTCCATTGGGAGGCATCATTTAATGGCCTCTAACAACGGTGAGATTCAACTAGATTAAAAATCTTAAAAATGCTATTTTATACCATTTCCACGATGTCTCCTGTAATAAATTCAGTGGGGCAGACCTAACTAGTAGCGGAGAACTCTCTGAGGAAGCTAGGAAGCAATATGAGACCATCTTAGTGGTTGAATCTGTGCTACAAGCTGAGTGATATATGCTTTTGTCTTTTAATTTCTTTTTATAAGGGTTATAAAGCGAAAATGTTAAGCGATTTCTTAAAAAGTTACTTTTCATGTCTGAAACTACTATGTTTAAATGTGCACAAGTCCTAAATTGGCTTTTTTTTAATATCTTAATTTCTAGGGTTTTTTTCAGTTTTATAATAGAAAAGTAAAGCCTTTCATGCAAGTGTAGAGCAGTAGCTGTAATTTTTTCTATAATACTCAAAAATATTTTAACCCCTTTGTTTTTTTCTATCCTGTTTATCACTTGTCTCCTTCACCTGCAGATCCCAGCTGTACCTGTATCTTACTCTTCTTCAAAATATTTATTCTGCTGGTACTGAAGAGGATGTGTTCCAGGGACATACTTTGTTGTCAGAAATTCCATTACCAAAGGTAGAAATAATGAGACATTGGTATATGTTACAGGACTTCAGAGAAAGGAAGGACGGAAAGATACCTTAAAGTGTTAAATAAAACAAAAATTCCACGTACCGCAAAGATGGAACATACATCTGAAAGGATTAAAGGAAGTCTGTGGGAAGAGATAAAATTTATATTAAAATTATAGAATGTCTTAGGAGAAAAGGTCCCCCTAGAAGAATTGTGTTACGATACGTGGGTCTGGAACTTAAAACGAGCTAACACCTACTATATTGGCCAGGGGCAACACCCAAGAATATATATTTTTTGCATTCAACAGCCAGATTAGTTCCCACTTTGTCTTTCCCAGGAAAATAAAGACTGGTCTTGGGAAGTCATCTTCAACCGCTTCCATATGCACATAAATCCCCCAGTCATCCTAAAAGATGTTAGAGAAGGTTTACCCTTCTTGGCCAATATATTGTAGAATGTGATTTTTAGGATCACTTCCTCTTTTCTCTAGTTCCCTCCCATTTGACACTACTTGAAATTCCCTCTGCCTAAAAATGTGTTTAGTTGAAGTAATTGGTTGGCTGAAAAATATTGACTAAAACCCACGCGTGAGCATTTAAAAGTATATTCAATAACGTGTTCTTTACCGTGTTGATAAAGGAGAGGAAGCTTGGAACAGGAATATTCTATGTTCTTTAAGAGGAGGAAAGGGTACAGAGCTGGGTGGCCAGTGGCTTAAAATAGAAAGCTTACTAAATTTAGGATTTTGCGAATTGCTAGCCCACCTCTGGTTATGCGTAGATATAGGGAAGGTGTGTAAGAAGGTGATTTGTATCCTAGGCAGCTGCTGGGATGTTGACTAGGGGGAAATGACCGTACTAACTCTACTTCGCCTGATTTATGTGTTGTTCTGTTTTGTTTTTAATGTCAGTGACCTATTTTTCTATTTGTCTTACATTTTACATGTAGATTTTCAACAACATACCTGGAATTAATTATTGAAGGATGTGAGGTACCCTTTACATCAAGGGGTCAGGATTTATTTATCCCATTTGGATGTTCAGTTGACACAGTACCATTTATTGAAAAAGACCATCCATTTTTCCAGGGCTGCTCTGCATCAACTTTGTCATAAGTCTAGTGTCATTGTATGCATGGTCTGTTTCTGTACGTTGTTCCATTCCATTGTTCTGTTTGTAGATATTTTCAATAATTCTAAATTTAACTTTATACTGAGTCTCATTATCCAGTGGTTGAATTTTCCAATTTTGATCTTCTTCAGCATTATGTTATTTATTGTTTATCTTTTGCATATCTATGCAAAGTTTGGAATCAGCTTGTCAATTTCCACCTTTAAAAAACTGCAGGGAGTTTTGGGGAGGGATGGCATGGAGGGAATACATTGAATTATGGATCGACTTACTGAGTCTTTAAGTCCTTGCTCAAGATGTAGACCTCTTATTTAGGGCTTCTTTAATTTATCTCAGTGAAGTTTTCTGGATTTTTTGTTTTGAGGTCTTACAGATCCGTTTTAGATTTATTCACATGTTTATGATATTGGAGGCTAGTGAATTATTTACACATTTTTTTTAACATATTTAAACATAATTTAGAAATTATTTGGGTAGTACAGAGAAATAACAATTGATACTTGTATATTGGCCTGCTATCCAGCAGCCGTGCTAAATCCATTTGATTTCTTTTGGATTTTTTCAAATACAATTATGTTGTCTGTGACTAATGACATTTTTATTTCTTCCTTTTTAGTCTTTATTCCTTTTATTTCTTTTTCTTGTATTTTTGTACTGCCTAAGACCTCTAGTACAGTATTGGATAGAAATGGTGAGAGTGGATAAGCTTGCCTTTTCCCAGTCTCAGGAAGAAAGCTTTTAATATTTCACCTTTACATATGATGTTTGCAGTAAACTTTTTGTAGGTATCCTGCAGATAACTGCAGGCAGTTCCCTTCTATTCCTAACGTCCTAAGAATTATATCCTAAATGTTGAATTTTATCAAATGCCTGAGTTTGTTGTTTTTACTGTTCAAATTGTTTCAGCTTTGACCACTGGAAGCTGTTTCATTTGGTTCCTGTGTCCCTATGACATACGTGTGGGATTGGTTTGTTTGTTTTGTGTGTAATTTCTTACTTTCTAGAATTATATAATGCCTCAGGCTCATCTCATATATTTCCTGGCCCAGTCCTAGAATTGGCCATTTCTCCAGGAATCCAGCATTACACATATTCTGCATCTATATTAAGCTAAACATGAGTTCATACTTGCATGTCTAACTAAACCATGAGGCGTGGCTCATTCCAATCTCGTCCCCTTGCTTATCTGTAAATTCCCACTCCAGCAGTGCGAATCCTGGCTTCTACTATTTAGCCATCCATTTGCTTAATTGTTCAATTCCAGCATATATGTGGAATTAACTCATATGTACATGGGAGACAACTTTATACACTGGAGTACAGTGTTTCTGTGCAGCTCATTTTGCCTTTAGTCTCACAGGCTCCACTCATTCCCAAAGTTACTTAGCAGCTTTTCCATCCACCCCCTCTGTGAGGTAGCTTTGCACATTACCTGTATGTGACCCTCCCTCTTACCTCTGAATCCTTGCAGCCGTGATCTCTGTAGTTTTTATTGTCTCTACAGTTTTGCCTTTTCCAGAATATCATAAAATGGAAACCAAACAATATGTACCCTTTTCAGACTGGTTCCTTTTACTTAGCAATATGCATTAAGGTTCATTCGTGTCTTTTTGTGGCTTCATAGCTCTTTCTTTATTGCTGAATAATGTCCTGTTGTATGGATGTGTTAATTTTTTAAACTCATTTGGCTATTGAAGGACATCCTGACTGCTTACAGTTTTGGGTGATTAGGAGCAGAGCTGCTGTAAACATTTGCATGCAGGATCTTGTATGTGCATTAAATTTTCAAGTCACTTGGGTAAATAACTCTAAGCACGATTGCTGATTGTATGGTGTTTAGCCTTGTAAGAGCCTGCCAAACTGTCTTCCAAAATGGCTATGCGATTTGCATTCCCACCCACCAAAAATGAGAGTTCCTGTTGCTCCATATGCTCATAAGCATTTGATACTGTCAGTTTTTTGGATTCTAACCATTGTGATAGATATGCAGTGGTATCATTTTTTAAATTTGTAATTACTTAAAGACATTCGATGTTGAGCATCTTATATGCTTACTTGCCATCTGTGTATCTTCTTTAATGAGATTTTCAGATATTTTGCCCATTTTTAAATTGGCTTGTTTGTTTTCTTACTCTTACATTTAAGAATTCTTTGTATACTTTGGAAACAAGTCTTTTATCCAGTATGTGTTTTATGAATATTCTGTCTGCAGCCTGTCTTTTCATTTTCTTAACAGTGTATTTTGTAGAACAGAAGTTTAATCTTAATGAATTCCAAGTCAATTTTTTTATGGGTTGTGCTGATATTTTCTAAAAACTCATTGCTAAACTTGGGGAATCAGAGGTAGTTGCCTATAGCTGAGCAAGTTATATGTGTCTGGGGGTGGTGGGTGGGAGGGGAAGCAGAGGGAAAGTAAAAGTCTAGGGTTTAGCAGCTTCTTATACGGACTTTCAAATAATCGTTCTTATTTCAAGGCCATGGCCTTACCCTTCAGCCTTTCAGAAGTATCAGGTCCCCTCATTTCTGAACCTGTTGCTGTTGTTGGCTTCCTCCTAAACAGGAGGATGGGATTGACCTACCTTTGCTCTGCTAGGTTGGTTATCACCCATCCATCCATCTTCCAAAATTTTGTTGACGCATCCTTTGTCATGTGGAATCCCCTCTAGTTTTCTTTACCCTGATGAGTATATATGGTTTCTAATCATTTACTTTCATTTTAGTGGTGTTTAGAAAAGGGAATGAAGGTAACATGCATTTAACCAGCTGCCATATTTAACCAGCTGAATTCTGAATTTAACTTATCTATTTTTATTTTTTAAGCAAACAATCTGATTTACAACTATGTAAGTTCAGAACCCTGGGAATACTGACCAAATCTGTGCTAAATTTCTTTGTCTCCATTTCTTACTGATTTTTATTATGTACCCTTTATAAGCATCCACAATACTCATTGATGGAGATTATTTTAGGGTGATATGTCTTCCCAAATTGTACTTTGTTGTACCATTAAGTATTTGGGAGAGTGTCATATAATATCAGACACACTGTTAGAAGATGAACATAAGGCAAACTTATTTTTTTAGTGAAAAAATATTGAGGGGGGAAAAGTGCACCTGACATTCAGGAATATATGGAAGGTACAAGACAGTACTACACCAGTAGGGAAGATGAATTAGGGGAGAAATAGCTAAGATAAATATGGTAAGTGTGTACGAGATTGAACAAAAGAGATTAGAGAAGCTTCAAAGATACAAAGAGTTGAGCAGTGTTTTATGGATTTTTTTTTTTAGGTGAAAATTTAGATAATTTCCAAAGCTGGAGCTGAATCGAATGTTAAATAATGGCAACAGGTGACTTAAAAAGAAGCTTACGGAACCTAGAACAAGTGCTTCGCTTGCTGAATTATCCTAGAGAGGTGGATTGTTTAGGGTGAGCTACAATATCAAACTTCTTTATATTATTTTCAGTAATGATGTGAGGTAATGCTTGACATGAGGGGAGTATCTAAATAAAAATCTGGATTTTATCTGGGTCCTTTAAATTTTTTCCTTGAAATGACTAAGAGATGCTTAGAAAGCAGTCAGGAGTTTGTTTCTAAGTAGGAATTAATGAAAAATTCCAACTCAGGAGATTTAAAACAACTTTTAGAAGTAGAAGCACAATATTGTTAGAATCAGGTGTGGTCTCTATACAACGTTTAATCTCACGGAAGTGTAATGGATTTCATTAGTTCTGTAATTTACCACCCTCGCACACTTAGTTGGGTGGTATTCCTTTTTGATTCGGGAGATTCTAGTTAATAGATTTCTTATGACAATTTATACCATGCTTGAAGATTGTTATTAAGCTATCTCACTTAAACCTTTTGCTTTAGTTTCCACTTTCCAAATGTGACTTACTCGCCTTTGTAGAATGTCACAAGGTACATTTCTTCTCTAATTCTGCCAACCTAATACGGTACTCCCATCATCCTCTTATCGTTTAATACCTCTTTTTCTTCCTCCCTGGGATGGCTGACTGGTTAAATGTTTCCCCCCACTAGAATGCAGCCTGACATCTGGGGCTTTTTGTTTAGTTCACTGCAGCCCCCCACATCTAGAACTGCCTGGCACATCTTAGAAGCTAATTAGACATTTATTCAATGACCGTGTCGAGGGACAAGTCCAGATTAGGCATATGTTCAAGAAGTGAGGGAAACTGGGTTGGTTTAACCCAGTAGAATCCTAGATAGTCTTGTAAACTAGGGAAAGCTAACCAAGAGAAGGCTGCAAGTGAATGGATACTGAGGAGACTAGGGAAGGTTTAGCTCTGATGACTGTTATTACGAGCATCATATGTGAGGAGCAGAAGGCATTCCCTAGTCTGCTCCCACAGTGTGTACCAGTCATATACTGGTTCCTCAAAACAGGGAAATCTCTACTATCCAGACTGGCAGGGGCTGAGTCAGTTTGAGTAGCCAAGTTTTCTTCTTCCCACTTTAAGTATTAACATTTTAACAGACATTTTGGTTAGGAATAATTCTAAAATATACTGATGATTCTCCTGTCTTCTGAATACAGCATTCAAACATTTGATTTTCTTATTGACCCGAGTATCATTAAGAACAAGTTTAGATTATCTTATAAGACAGTAATGTCTGCAGGGTTTATTGAGACGGGTAGTGCTACTTGCTGCTGCTTCAGGTTGCGCTCCCCGATCCGACATGCACACATATACGTACAGATACACACTCCGCGTATTTTGATTCTGTATACTTTTTGCCATTTTAAAATTTTTTCCTGACATCTGCTGTTTTTCGTGTTGGCCTGTCAATTTATAATGTCTGTTTCTCTTACTGTGTCTAGTCTAAGTCCTTAGAAACTAGGTAACCAAGATTTTTGAGATTGTTTAACTTAAGAGGTATTAAATGCAGACCTGGCTGTTTTCTATTCATAATGTGGATAAAATGGACACATTTTGCTCTAAAAAAGTACTTTTTCCGTTCCTGTTTTGAACTGTCTTACAGAGAGACAAGGTTGCTAGAGCAGTTTTCTCATTGGGTAAATTATAATTTTACCCACGAACATAAAAGAGAAACAATTTATGTTTGTCCTGCAAAAAACAAAATATAATCTTATCATATTTGTTCTCTGCCTTATTGAAAAAAATTGGGCAGGGATGGGGAGATTTATGTATGTGTTTGAATTTTGTGGAAAACAAATGTTCTAAGTAAGTACATTATCGCATCAGTTGAACAAATACTTTCTGTGCCTTGTTGTGAGAGAATCAGTGAAGGCACTTCTTGAGAAACAAGATCTGTGTGTGGAGACAGTTAGACAACAGTACAAGGCAGAGCATCAGGTGTCAGATCCTGAACACCTGGGGAGTCGTTCTGAGCGAGATCCTTGTGGATCAGAAAGATGGCTTCATGGGAGGCTTGAGATTTGACTGATGATTCACAAAGAATGAATGACAGATAACAGAAGAGTAGGATACCTTTCTGGGCTGGAGGAATTAGCGTAAGATAATAAGGTAGATTCCAAATGAGCCTGATGTCAGGGGAAGATAGTAAACTGGTCAGCCTGGTCACAGTTGATAGCTTTTCCAGCCCTGTTTTCCTCATCTGTAGCTTAGAATTCCTAATATTTTCCCTCTGCAGCTTTGTGATAAAGAGCAAGTGAGGTAATGTGAGAAGTGTTTGCAAAACCGTAAAGCCTACTTGTGTACTGTAAGACCGTACGTTTGCTTTATTAGTAGGAGAAAATGGACTAGATCGAGTAAGGCTAAGCTTTGGAAAATCAATAAATACTGTGGTAAATAGACTGTTGGTACTAAAGAGTTTTTGTTTCATAGTTAATTTGCCTACACTGGTTTAGAGTAGGGGATGGAATCTAAAGGGTCTTGTGCATCACCTAATTATTATGGCTATTGTGTTAAATTATGAGTTTTTGACAGCATTTCTTTTATTTCCCTGATTATCCAACTTTGTGGCATTAAGCTTATTAAAAATCTTTTTCTGTTTTTCCTAACAGTTTGGTAAAGGGAGACACAGCAGCCTCTCTGCCCATCATCAGCTATTCCCTTACCTCATATTCACCTTATGTAGCAGAACTTCTGGTGGACTCCAATGTAGAGCTCATAGCAAAGAATGACTTACGCTTCATAGATACTGTCTACAAGGTATTTTGAATTTATGAAACAATAATTCTTTTAGAAGTCATTGAATGGTTTTCTTAAGATTAATGTTATTATAACTCAAATATATGCCACATACATAGTTGACAGAGTATTTTCAGATGCATTTATCTCCTGTAAATGCAGTCCCTGTTATAATCAAGATGCTATTCAGGTTTGCTGTATGTGTCATACTCTAATGAATATGAGGACTGGTAATTGTCATTGGCTATCATTTGCCTTTTTTAGATCAAATTTTAGTAAAATTTGGTATACTGGCAGAAGTTAGAGAGAAATGTGGTTTTAGTGAGTAAAGTTTGTGGTTCAGAAAATTGTGAGTTAATTTAGTTGTTTATAAGAAGGGACTACAACTTATGTTGGAACAACTTGTGTTCCTTGAGGTCTGAAACCATGTCTTATTATCTACTCTAGTACCTGCACTTGTACTATATGTATGCTGAACTTAATCTCATGTTTGATTTTTCAGAACCCTACTTTGTATCATTAATTTTTGCTCACGTACTGTGTTTTTCTTAACCTTTTTAAAAAAATAGTAAAGCCCATTTATCAAATCAAATCTTGATTTTTTTCTTTTTTAGGTAGAGTTTGATGAAATGGTAGCCTTTAAATATAGTCTCTGTTTAATCTTCCCTTTCTTTGTCTCTCACCCCAGAAAGCTTCCATGGAAGCCTGAGAGGCACTTCTAGGAAATCCCAGGGTCCACAGAGTAGGTTTTGAAAATTACTGGTTTAATCTGTATCTCTCATTTTATACATGAGAAATCGAAACTCAGTAGCCTACCAACTTGTCTAAAAATCAAGTCATGATTTCTATAAACAAATAGAACTGTGGTTTTCTGATATCTGCTATAGTAATCTTGTTCAGCGAGCTAAGGAGTTTTTTTTTTTTTTTTTTTAGTACCTATGAGGATATTTGAACTTTTTATATCTTTTTTCATCTCTCTGGACAGCTATCTATCCTCTGGTACATCCCTAGCTAACTGTTTCCTACTTGTTCTCCTACCTGGTCAGGACTCACAGCACCCCTACAGGTTTCTTTAGTGCCCTATATATAATGGCTTAATCCTCCCCTCTCGCCTCTCAAAAATGGCAGTATATCCCTGACCAGGTGGTCATTTATAATTTTGGATTTTTGAAAGAAATTGCTCCCAATTATTTCATTGATCTGTTTGCTCTTTACAGCTTCTTCGTGATCAATTTAATTATAAACCAATCTTGACGAAAAAGCAGTTTCTCCAATGTGGATTTGCAGAATGGAAAATCCAAATTATATGTGATATTTTGAATTGTGTGATGAAAAAGCACAAGGAGTTGAGTGGTCTTGAGAAGGTAATTTTATTAATAGATTTTAACTTAGGCTAAGTTGCTATATTTTAATGTTAAAAAGTCAATACCCTAGTCAGCAAATTAATGCATAGTGCAATTACTGCACTGTTGACAGGTCTGGGTAACCTTACAATGCCTGATGTTTGCTTTAAATACTAGTGACTTGTTTTTGCACATTTGTGACTTGGAGCTACTAGTCCTAAACTAATAGTTCAAACATAATACATTTCCATCACTTTGTAGTTTTCAAGAGACGTGTAGTCTCATTAGACTCGGCATTATTTGGCAGTCACATTTCATATGAAAATTTAAGTGATAGAGGAATTTAATATATACATCATGCTTTCCCACATAATTTATGACATCTTAATACCTTTTTTTTAGGCTCCATCACAACAAAGAAAAAAAATCAGTTCTGCTAAGTCAGAACCTTGTTCAAGCGCTGAGAAGACATCAACTGAACCTGTGGGCATTGACGTCACTGGCAGGTTTATGACTTCGGGAAAGGTGGGAAAATACAAAGAGAATGCGTCGTGTAGTGTTAAGAGTTACCTACCTAGTCAATCCAACGTATAAGGTTCACTTTTCTGACTAGCATCTGGTAAAACATTCTGCTTAGACATTAGAGTGTAAGGATTTTTAACAGTGCATATCACATATTATCTGGGAACATTCCTAAAGTTATAAGAAGAGGGTAGAAACGTACAACTGAACAGCCTTTCTCTTTATATTTCTAATCTTTAGTTCTGCCTCTTGCGATCATGAACATTTGCACTTAATTACGTATCTAGTCTTCCTAAAGACCCTCCCTTTACTTACAGTGATAGGTCATGATTTACGTACATTCATATTTCTATACCAGGACTGTGAATTATCCAATGATTGATAGTTCCTTAAATCTATAATCTGGTTTTGGGGTAGTGTTTTGAATATTTTCTCTTTGTTGGTAGATATCTTCCCTGCCCTTGTCTGCTTCAAGCACCTGTGGCTGAATGAGTCCAATGCCTTTAGGGATAGTTTTTCCATCTCCAAGGGAAAATGAAGCCAAAATATTATTTTATAATGGTAAATATACTTTCAGCTGTCTTCCACCTTGGGCAAGCCCTTTGAGATTGAAGGATAGACTACCAGATGAATAACCGATGTGTCGTTAGATAAAGGAATGTGAGTATTTTTTGGCTGAAGTAAAATCTAGGGAATTATTTTTCCCCAATTCAAAATATGAGTTATATAAACAGAATCTGTGAAGATATTTATACTTTATGCCATTATAAAAAGTAGTGACATTTAACTGTAAGAAAAAGGCTCTTATGTCAGTAACTTTTAAAAAAAATATGCCTGTTTTGCTCCAGGTGATGAGGGCAATATGAAAAGGAATGTAAGTGTCTTGTATCCTTTCCCAACTAGAATTTATCTAAACAGGGATTTTCTTACACTGGTTTTTTTATATTCATTGTGCTTAGCACAGGATTAGGTCCACTGTAAGGACTTACTAAGTATGAGTTGATAGAACTGAATGCATTTTTCAATCTTCTATTTCAGTATGGGGGCTGAGGGGTGATCTAAATTGTCCTAACAAAGAAAGATACAAAATTTGAAGACATTAGACTTTTTAATTCTCGTAAGATAAAGTTTCCTTTGTTATCCATCAGAATTTTGTAAATTACATCAAATTCTTAATTCTCAGAAATTTGAATAGTGATTAAAAGTATTCCAGTTTAGAAAAGTTGGAGTAGTAAGTGCATTCCTTTGTTTACATGAAAAACTGAGTCAATACTGAAGCAAGTTGTCTCCTCCCCAGTGCCTTCTCTGGGGTGGTAGTTGTGACTTCTATGTCACATGTGCTGAGTTCATGTTCATACGTGGATTGCCCGTAGAAAAGGAAGTAGGCAGAAGAGTCCTACGTAAATGCGGTTTGACCTGGTGCCTTTACTCTCAGGACTTTCCCTTAGTTTGAATTGTTATTGACAGTTTTATGTTTTGTGGTTTGTTTAATACAAAAAAAAAAAATTGTAATGAGTCCTACTCATAAAGCCAGTTCTTGATTATCTACATGTGAATAGTGTGTTAACCTTTTAAAAATAACTTCTTCTTATGGAACATTTCAAACCTGTACAGAAGTATCCATTCTGTGATTCAGCAATTTGTCAACTCTTTGCTAATCTTGTTTCTTCTTAATTGTAACCACTTTTCCCAACATCTTTTCTCCCAAACCTGAAACCATTTGAAACAAGTCCCAGACATCATTGAATAAATATTTCAATACTTTTGTAAAATATAAGAATGCTTTTTAAAAATCATGACCACAATTGTATCATCACACCTAAAATAATAAGTTTGTAATATTTGGTATATGCATATGTGGTAATTTAAACTTCTGTAAATCTTAAATGGAAGATAGGATGTTTCTTTTGAAAAATTACTACGTGTATGTTTAAAATAATTGTGGAGAACAGGGAAGCATCTCTGACATGTTTTTCTCTGTGCAGAAGAAAGCTGTGGTGATCCGGCACCTGTACAATGAAGATGGTCCTAACATTCCTGAAGATACAGTAACAGATGTTAATGAAGCATTTGATATTTGTGACTTAAAGGCTGCTGAAATAAAGATTCCTGAATTACAGGTTCCTGAAATTAAGTGTGAGCGGCAAGTAAGAATCTGGGACTTCTTTAACAGATGCCAATATTTCTTGCTTTGATATACGTGATTATTTCCGCATCTAATCTTTGGAATGTTTCTAGCCTTTTAAATTATTGATCGTGACATGTTATCTTTGTTACCATTACTTAAGAATCAATAAGTCTTACTGAATATAATTCAAAAGATATTATTTGCTGCTTATATTTAGGGTACTAGGAGAGATGTCATGGGTAATGCAAAGATGAATAAGACATAGGACTTGACTTCAAGGAATTGACAGTCTGGTGAGAGATAGAGATATACTACTTTGTTTAGTGAAGGTTCTTTATCACCTCTTCCCCATATTGATGAATGGAAAAAAATGGTGCATTACCACCTTTTCATTTTCCTTTTGGGGCCCTTGCTGTCTTTTGCTCTCTTTCTCTCAGAATATCGTTGCTATTACTTTATTGCCACAGACCCCATTATAGTGTCTCGTCTCTACTGCTTCTGTTAAAACTTCTTTTTCTGTCCGTCTTCTATGTCTTGTGACTTCTGTACATCTTGGTATACAGTTGGCATTTAAAAACTACCAGATGGGGCTTCCCTGGTGGCGCAGTGGTTGAGAGTCCGCCTGCCGATGCAGGGGACACGGGTTCGTGCCCCGGTCTGGGAGGATCCCACATGCCGCGGAGCGGCTAGGCCTGTGAGCCATGGCCGCTGAGCCTGTGTGTCCGGAGCCTGTGCTCCGCAACGGGAGAGGCCAAAACAGTGAGAGGCCTGCGTACCAAAAAAAAAAAAAAAAAAAAAAAAAAAAAAACTACCAGATGACCTTTAGGCTTACTTCCTGTTTATAGCAAACGGAACAATCTCATTTCTCGGTCATTTCCTCTTAGCTTTCTGCTAGATCTAGTTAAAAGAAGCTAGTCACTTATAGTTCTATTGTACAAACTGATACTGTTCTAAGAGCTTTATACAAATTAATCCATTTAATCTTACAAGACCCAAATGAAGTTGGCACTCTTGTCATCTTTTTCTTTTTAGATAAGGAAATTGAGGCATCGGGCATCTCGCATGAGCTAGTTTAAGTGTCCAAGGTGCCTGCTCCAGAAGTAGCGCTCTTAACTCTCATGCTGTCCTGCCTGCTGTAACTATTGAAACAACACGTGGAAATGGGAATACACTGAATTACAGGAATTTTAATCTGTGTAATATTTTTAATCTTTCTAATCATTTTAGGATACAGAAGTCAATCCTGAGATTATTGCACTACAGACTATGCTTGCTGAATGCCAAGAAAAGCTGAAGAAACTGACTTGCATAGAAAGTAGATTAGAATCTTTGGAAGAAAAAATGAAAGGGAAAGTGATGGTGAATGAAAAAACCTGGGCTGATCTTCTAAGTCGTGTCACTCTTCTTGAAACAGAAATGCTTTTATCTAAAAAGGTATTTTCTTTCCTTTACATTTATAGAATATCTCAAGATACAATAAAGTAATTCCTTTGTTCATTATTATTCTCTTATTTGGAATGTTAAATAAGAGAATACTTAGGTAATGGGAAGTGTTCAGTTGGGATGAGGGCCTGTTTAGGAACACCCTGTTTGGTGATGGTTGTTGTGACTATTGCTGTTCTCTTCATCAAATAAGATAATCTGACAAACTTGTAAGCTGAGCTTTTAGAGACAGTTATGTCATTTCTGGTCCTAGTCTGTCTTTCCTTCCTAGAAAGTTAGTAGATTCAAGTTTTCTCTCTCCTTCCACATTTAAGAGATCATTTTCTATATGTAGGAATTTTATGTTTTGCTTGTAAATAAAATAATCAAAAGTAAGTATTTATTATGTCATCTATATATTTTATGCTTAGCAGTAAGAGCATAAAAATGAGAACATATCTTTTTATTTTATTCTAAATACTAAATCATATCATTCCAGAATGATGAATATATAGAGTTTAATGAGATGAGTGAAGACTGTGCTTCTAGTAGCGACATGGATAATCTCAATCCGGGTAAGTTCTTGGCATACTGGAATTGGTGATATGGTAAGGAGTTTTCACAAAAATGTTTTTATAGTATTTGGTCATTTTAATTATCCTCAAACCTTATTTTTTTAGAAATTGCAAAGCTCCTAAGAACAAAGAAAATATCAAACTTACAGACTATAAGTCAAGGATTGCTAGAAAAGCCAACTTACATGTCTTACATGTAGTAGTTGCATAAATTCCAGTGTACAAAATGGCAAACTTTTAGAGATGTTTTACTCTTTTAATTGCAAAGTGCTTTAGAATAATAAATGGACCTCCAAAGTTTCTAATTTAAACTTAAGTAGTAGCTTTTGCATATATAAATAATATATGTAAGAGAAAAAAAACACATTTGTCAGTAACCTGTAAAGTGTTACAGACCTCTTGCATTTCAACAGTTCACTGATGGTGATAAAATGAGAAGGACCTAAAATTAGGACAAATCTTCTCCGTGTCACTTAACCTCACTAGGCTACTGACATTGTCATTGTGACGGAGCAGCAGGGATAAGATTTCTGAGCTGCTTTTCAGTTAAAGCTTTAATTTTTTTGATTCTTACACTTTTTGAAAAGACAAAGGTCTAAATTTTGTCGTGTTTGTAATTAAATCATATTTGCAGAAGAGATATTTTGTCCAGTTGAGAATTCATAATGAAGCTAACTTTTTAAATCTGTGGGTGTTTAACCTCATTAAATCTTTCAGCTACTATGTGTATAACAATTTAACAACAACACATTGTAGTGGTAACTACAGGCCTGCACTGTTCCAACTGCGATAGTAAAACATTTAATTCTCAAAGCAAGATAAGTGCTATTATAACCCATATTTTACAGAGGAAGAGAGATTAAATAACTGCCAAAGGCCATACAGCTGTTGAATGATGGGACATGTTTGAAAAGAGGCAAACTAGCTTTGACGTTTTCTCTTCAACACTACATATTCAGTGCACGTGCCAGTTTCATTGCACAGAAAACAAGTTCAATAACTAGGTTATTAAATAAAATTATTTGAGATGCTGCTTCTGGCAGTAGATTTATTATAGACTACAAATTTCAGATTTGGTAGAAGTTGAGTTTTTTCCATTTATCCTTCATTCATTACTCAACAAATTTCAAAGCTCAACTCTAAGATCCTTGAGAGCAAGAACTTTATCTTACGGTCTGTCTAACATAACGTCTGTGCTTCTGTCACCAGTATCTATCTGTATATGGTAGAAATCAAGTTTTTATGCATTGAAAGAGTACTGAAGTCTGCTATTTGCAAAACATTGCCTTTTCCAAGTTCGATTTCACCTGTTTGGGCTTAGTACTTTTTAAATAACAGGTTACAGAGCATACTTTTAACACATTAGTCCTATGCTAGGACTTAAGAGTGATGAGCAGATAGACCACTATCTGAAATGGATTATAGATTATGAATGATTTGAATACCTAGTCTCAAAAAATGTATAATCTGACCCTGATCAGTTGAGTCAAATTTATGAAGCCTGACACATTACACCTTACCTCTCCATGCTACCTGGAAGCAGAGGGTTTGAATTCCTTTTGATGTTGAGAGCGACAGTTCACCAGTCTGATCTGAGGATCATGTTAAGTTGGGAATGCTTTTGGTGAAGTTCATGCCCATTAGTAAGTAGAGGAATGGAGCAAACAGGCAAGAGAAGGAGACAGGAGAGACTGTGGCTCCATGAGAGACCAGAGTCCTCATGTGCTAACACTTTGTTCCCTGATTGAGGTTGTCTGTGTAGGCTTACAGCTAAACTATGTAAACCAGTTTAAATGGGTATCTGATTTTTTTTTTTTTTGGCCTTGTTTTTGCAGCCAAATGTACCATGACTAAAAACATAGGGCTTATGAGATTGGTTGGACAGGAACTTATCTCTGATGTTCTGTATCCAATTTGATGGTAGGAAAGACTTGCCATCATTTTGTTGAATAATATCCGGATACTGGAAATGGAAAGTTGTTCAGTTCTTTAGAGTAATAAATCTGTGAACCTGAATTTTAAGCAATTTTTTTCCATACATATCAACTTAGGGTAGAATGTTTCCTGATTTTTAGGAAGTACATATAGTCAGTTTTAGTAATAGTTGCCACCATTTTAAGAAAAGAATATACACGGATCAGTAGCTTATTTAAAGATACATTAACCTGCATATTCAATTGATTGCTATCATGATAAAGATAATGTTACTTTTTGTGATCTTTATTGACCAGTTTTTAACATCCAGATCTCCATACGCAGGTCATTATCCTAAAAGAATATTAAAAACTCATCTAGACCTATACCAGTAGGCACTTTATATTGAGAGGTTTATGTTTCTTCCCTCTATACATAAAATTTTAGATATTTGACTCTACTATGAAAGGAAAAGGTAACCTAAAAATTAATTTCTCCACAGATAGAAAAAGCAAAGAGGAAAGGCAAGCAAATATTCCTTTGTCCTCTGGTTATAGTATGGTATCATCCGATTCAACTCCCAGAACCTCAACTATTAATTACTGTGGTTTGAAAGAGATTTCTGAGGTAAGAAGAACTGGCAGCTACTTAGGTGATTTCCTCTGTAAGGTCAGGAGAACAAGCAAGCATTAGATTTAGTTGCAGAAGCCATGGGCAAGAAAAATAGTGAAACTGTAAATCTTAATCTCATAAAAATTCTTTGTGATAAATAAACGGTACTTAATGCAATGTCTTAGACTGTGTTTTATATGTTCATGGTCCATCTTTGATTATGGTTTACTTTGAGAAATGGCCTAAATTTGTTGCTTTTAAATTAAAGGAAACAACAATCCAGAAAATGGAAAGGATGAAAAAAATGCAAGTAACAGAAAGGGGCAACAGAAATTCATTTCTCTATAGGGAATTGTGTTGGATTACGATATATAAAGAATGTGCATGTGTGTTTCAAACCTTGAAGGTCTCTCAATCAGGTGTGGAATTTCCTTCAAGACTCCAGTGGATAATAAATCCACCTCCAGTTATGTGTTTGTGAGATAAGTCACTGTTTTTGTTTCCAACAAGTGATGTAAAACATTGTTAATGGAATTAATTGGAGATTAAAGAGTGCAGTGATGGTTTTGGTTGATAATCAAGAAGTTATCTATTTTTGATAACTACTTTATCAAAATATTAAATTGTGTATGTAGATGGATGGTTTGGAGACATTTTAAGTATTGTGAAAGTATTGCTAGTCCTTTTCAGAAAATTGTTGGTATGGTAGTACTAAATATGATACTTTTATCTAGTACAAATATGAAATTACATGATTTTTTTTAAAGAACAGTTGAAAGAAAATATGAAATGAAATTGTGTAAGATTATCATGCAGCCTACTACTTTAAAAGACTATAATTTTTTTTTTTTTTTTGGAAATTGAGATGTGCCAAAATAACTTATGCTTCAAGAATTAAAGACACATAATTGACTCCAGTTGTTTTTCCTCCCCTTCTGGCCATAGTATACTTATTAACAGTAACTACCTATAAATAATCACTGAAATTTATTTAAGGCTCAAAAGCATAACTGCAGCAACCTAATTCCTATGCCTCACTATGAATTTGTTATTTACTTAATATATTATTTATGTATTATATTCCAGGTTTGAAGAAACTGCAGAGTTACTGAAATGTCCAAATCACTAATTATAGAATTTTCTGCATGAACCTCTCTAGGACTTTGGCTCCTGTACATAGAGTTCTCTGTACAGTTTTAATATACTGTAATATTTTTATTAGAATTTGAATTCCATTTGGTATATTAGCTTTTTCATTCAATGTTGAATAAATACTTAAATATTTTTGTGCTGTGCTTATACCGCTTTACAGTTTTACTATTCTTAGGAAAACTTAGGTGCCAGTACATTTCTTTTACAGCGTGAAGTCATTCCAGCACTGTATTTTTGTGTTGACATTTGTTGGCAGCGTGCTAAGTAGTTTTTTAAAGTACAGGCTTGAGGACCATGGTTTACATCCTGTTGGAAACACTCCACCTGGGACTTGCATGTTGTCCCCAGGAGGCTCTCATACATACCATCTTGCCATCTGTACTGACGAATATCTTGCAATGAAAAGTTAAATATGCTCATTGAGATTGAAATACAACAAAAATACAGCTATTTCACGCTCAGTCAAAAGGCAGCAACACGCTTTCAGTTAACGTTGAGGAAGTTAGGGCATGGTTCTCCTTTTGTATTTGAAAGCAGGTTGGACAATGGTGAAGATGTGCCGGGTATTTTAGTGCTCTACTCTGTAACACATTTTGAGGGCAGCAGCTCAGACCCAGATGGTGGCCATTCCTGTATTACAAGATACACAGTGAGGGTTTTTTTGTTTCTTGTTTTTTTAAATGATGGGAAGTTACGTATCTTTCTAGAGAGAGAAAAAGTCTTAGAGGAAGTTAAATTAAAAGAAAAATGAAATTCATTTTAAAATACTAGATAAATTCTCTTATTTATTCCTATGCTTATATAAATGTAATTTGATATTTGTCACCTATGGAACATTAATAGTAAGTTAAAATTCTAAGTAGAGAAAACTTTTAAGAAGGCGTTTTTAATATTCTACTACAGGTACATGTGTAGTCATCATACTTTAAAATTATGAACTTTTGAAGTTAGCATACAGCTTTGAATTTAGTAGTTTCAGTAAATATTTCTAGAATTAATGAATCCAATTAGCTTAATTTTTCCAATTGTAAAAAATTATGAATCGAGATTATAAAAGAAACTACTTTGTCAATTAAACCTCTAAAAATTCAGCATCAGCATGGAATTGTAGCACCACCTTGTGGTTTACATGCCAGTATTTTACCTTTTATTAAGATATGTGATTTCCTGTAAAACATAGGATCATATTTTCCCTTTTGAAAAAATTCCAATTTTAAAAAGAAGTGTTTTTGAAATTTTCTTTTTTGTGCAAGAGAGAAGAAAAAATCGTCTTCTTTTCTCACGGTCTCTTTTCCCCCTCCCTCTCCTTTTTCCTTTATGTTAGTGTACATATATACCAATTAGATGATTTTAAACATTTTAAATTTCCTGATATACATTAAGTGTGCCAAATAAGTTTCTATTGAAAATACAGTAAAAGATGTCTTATATTATCTAGTGGAAATTTGGAATCCAAATTTTTTTCATACTTTTATCTAACAACTTAAACAGGAACTAATGAAATCAACACATAACGCCACCAGACATACTTACAAAGAATCTCACTGTTGTCTCCCCAAAGACAACGTAATCTTTGGGGAAAAAGAAAATAAATTTGACTTCACTGAAGTTATTGAAGAGAGAACAATTATTTGTTATTCTAATTCTCTTAGAAATAGTAGAAAAAATATTTCCCTCTTAGGTAATTAGTAGTTGGTAACCACAGACCAGCCCCTTTTGATTAACTTGAGGTCTTGAGAAGGTAAGGGAGGGGGGTCCTGGAGAGATTTGTAGCTACATAATTAAACCCGTAGTTAACTGGAATTTTCACTAACTCCATCCCCTTAATTCTCCCGTAAGTGGGATGAAAGGTAATGTATTATACTGCCCACAAAGGCGTTAGCAGCTGATGTGGCCCTATTTGTACTATGCGCTGTGAATACAGCTGCACAGAGGTCAAATAGAAACACTAAGAATGCATAAGGTGAAGTAAGAAGAAGTAAAGTCAACCGTATGAAAATTCTAGGCAAAGCCAAGGACTATTAAGTTGGAAAAAGTAGTTCTATATTTGTTTGTTTGTTTTACTTTAACGCTTTGTAATGTAATGTTTTAACATGTAATACATTCCCTAAAAAATGGAACTTCAAGCCTTTGGAGCTGCGTTTCATGCTACTCATTCCTCACAGCTTTACATCATTGACAGGCACTTGGGGAAGCATTAAAGTGCAAAAGAACCTTGTCAATTTTACAAGTTACAACACTTTTTGAGCTCCAATAACATTATAGATTTAATTTTTACTTTTTAATAATCCCAAGGTTCCCCTAGTGAAAACGTCAGGTTGTTTATACTACTCATTCAAAGAGTGAAGAAAGCGGTAGCGACACTGAGAACGTGCAGATTTATTGGGGTGGGAGGGGATTTTTTAAAATCCATACTCATTTTATCATGGTTTTTATTTATTTCTAATACATGTAGGAATGGATACTGTATAGTATGTATGTCTTATTTTTCTCTGAAGTCCACTAAATCACTAATAGAAATTATTCGATTAAAAACATTTTTAATGCAAAGTATTCAACTCAGCATTTTGAAATTAAGAACCAGAGCACTTATTCAATAAGTATCCCGAATGTATGTTATTTGAATTATACGTTATAGATGGGTGTTAAGAAAAAGGAGAGAATCATAATTTTAGTTACCCAGGAAGGTTGAAAGGTGGGGATTAGAGTGATAGGAAGGCTGAATATTTTGGAACACTAACTGGCACCTAGTAAGTCCTAATTTGTAGATATAATCCTTCAGTTCACCTAAATTGCTGTGTACTTGGAGTGTAATCAACTTATTAAATCATGGGGCAGAGCTCTTCAATTCGTTTGGTGTTGAAATCCTCAAAGACATGTGTCTTGATTGTCTCTGTGGATTGGCCTCTCTTAAATCGTGCTTTTGCACACTTTCTTTTGCTGAGAGTGACTTCCCCTCCCATCTGGAAAATTTCTGCTTATCCTCTAAGACACCGTACCTTCCTTGGAAAGACTTTTCACAATTACAGAAGCCAAATTATATTCTCTCTCTTTGCTGCTTTATAGTACCTTGTTTATATTTCTTATTTTTACACCAGTTTCATAGCTCTTACTTGTTTATATGAAGTTAATATCCATTACTTCTGTTTTTGAGGGTTTTGGTTTTCAATCTTTCTTCCAATGTTTATTTCCCTTAGTGCTTAGCGTTTGTTCAAAGTAAGTGGTAGTTAATATTTATCTGGTGGCCAAATTAATATCAAATTATAATGAAATTATAAATTATAATCAAGGTTTCCTGATAAGTAAGATTTTATCAGGTTGAAGCTGTGGTCTGGTCAGTCCTGCTACATCCTTTCTATGGAAGGAATGTGTTGACAGAGGAAAGATACAATCAGTATACGTTCTAGACAAGGGTTATCATACCTTATATGTATGCTGATGGATACATTTACAATGACGCTTCAAGCGTTTACTAGGTGCCAGTTAGTGTTCCAGGCACTGGCCATAAGCAGAGTACAGGTATAAGCATGATTCCTGTTCTCCTCAACTAACAGCTGAGCAGGAGAGACAGATAAGCAGTAACAGTGTCTAGTAAGTTCGAAAAGGGAACTATCATGCATCTGAGGAATCTGGCGTAGAGGAAGCGGCGTTAACCTGAGTCCTGAAGGATGAGTGATGGGGACGGGTAGCCAGGGAAGAAGGGGTAAAGCAGAAGGCCTAGCATGAAAAAAACCAAAGGCCGGAGAGGAAGGCCGCTGGGACGAAGTCCACTAGGGCCGACATGCGGAGTGTGTGTAGGTGTGGGAGGCGGCGGTACAGTGGCTGAAGATCAGTTTACCCAGGCCCCAGCAGAATATCAACCAGAGATCGGTTTTTGAAGAATTTGATTTAATGCTTTGGTATGGAGAATGAATGAGAGGTGGCAGGCCTAGAGGGAGAGGAACCATTTAGGAGACTACTGCAGTAATCTAAGAAACGTGGGAAGCGGGACTCCAATTATGATGGCAGAAGAGATGGAGGCACATAATGGGGTTTGAGAGAATGTATTTTTTCCCTTGAAGGCTGTCTTACATAAGAAGCTCAGTAAGTCCAATTTAAGGACTGTCCGATTTGGTATCTGCATTGGGGGATGGGGGATGATACCACGCTAATGTTTAGTTTAATACTTCGCCCAATTAGTCCTGGATCTACAATCTTATTAGAAATACAAAATCTTCAGCCTCTCTCCTGACCTACTGAGTCAAATTCTGCATTGCACTGAGAACCCAAAGTAATTTGTAGCGACCTTTCATTTGAGGAACTCTAATTTACATTTACAAAGCTCTTGCTTCGTTATCATAATCAGCATTTGGTCTGAGCCTTAAATTCAGATTCTTTTGAGTTGCTTTCATCTAAACACGACGCTTTATAGTCCGTGTTCAATATCTTGGACATTTTCCCGTTTGAATGGATGGCTTTAGGCTTTTGAATGCATTCATTGAAATGATTTTTTAAAACTCAGTTGAATTACATGTAACTATAACTATAACATATAACTATATATAACTGAGTTAAAACATCCTTTCTCTAAAATTAGGTGTAAACTTTATACAAATTAATGTTTGGTGTCTCATCAACAGTGGTCCCTCACTAAGCATGTGTGGGACATACCAGTATCTTCTGTCTGAAATACCTGCATGTATGCTGAGAAATTACTAGTTTTTTACCTTTATTATGTTGCCCAAAGTGTAATGGGCAATCTTCTTCTGCATACATAGAAACTTTTCAGTATTATGTCAGAGTCACCTTTTTGAAACCATGGAAAGTGATTATTAGCGATCTATATTTTATACGTAAATTTATATTCAGTGATATATGGTCTTACGAATTTTTTTTTTTTTTTCGGCCACGCCGTGTGTCTTGCTGGATCTTAGTTCCCCAACCAGTGATCGAGCCTGGGCCCCTGGCAGTGAGAGTGCCGAGTGCTAACCGCTGGAACGCCGGGGAAGTCCCTTACAAATGCTTAAAAAAAGAAAAAATTTATTAAGTACAGCCCAATTAGAGAAGTGTTAAAATGAGAGAGGAACGAGATGCAGATTTAGATTTAAGAAACATATTCAGGAAGCAGTCTTAATAGATGGATCGGGCCTGAGGAGAGGAGAGGAAAG